TAGCCCAAAGTTGTAACTGGTATGTCCTGAGAGAAGAAAATGGGGAAAAATACCATTTGCCTATTACGTCTATTGGTTTAAAATGTAACTAATTTAGAAGGCGTGTCAGGAAATAAAAATGAATAATATGTTGTTCGTTACTTGTTAGACATGCTGACGAATGCCAGTTGATCTCATCGTCCTCAGATAATCTGTCCCTAAATTCTGTTTTGACTTGCGTACAGTGCGTAGGAGAAGCGTCCGCGGGCCTTAGGGGCCCCACTAAGGGACTGCAAAAAAACTGGGCACTCAAAATTTTAATATTTCTTTTGAAAGTTAATGTTGAAGGTTAGTCAGACAAACTGGGCACTCAAAATTTTAATATTTCTTTTGAAAGTTAATGTTGAAGGTTAGTCAGGCAAATATTTCTGCTCCCTTGAGACTGCAAGAGAGAAGTCCTTTCACCTAAAGAGCTCTCCAGTTTTAGCAAAAGATTCCTAAATCTGCCAGTCAGGTGTGCAAGGTATGTTGCTTTGAAACACTTGGACTGAAGATTTTTTCCTAGTGTTTTTAGAGTAGCTAGATCTCTAGATAAGGTTTTATTTTAAAATTACTGGAAGTGGCATTTAAATCTACAAGACAGAAAGAAAAATCTCAACTCTGAGAATATATTCACGTTTTGCATCCCGGTCGCAACGTCTGTTAGGACTTCTGGGCAAAGAACAGAAAGCGATGCTCAAACTGAATACGGTTCTGATACCAATTTGACATGTGTCAGCACTAAACAGTTGCGGTGGATATTTAGGCTAAATAGCTGTCAAGTCCTACTAATTCAGAGCCTGTAGAGCAGACTTATTATCTCTCTCTTCCTCCTTCCTCAAAAGCAGAAGTCTGACCTTAATGTTTTTCCAAAATGAAATCATGCTGGTCAGGTTGTGGTTATCTAGATGTTGGAACACGGTGTATTTGCTGACTCTGGCTTTACTCTGTTTTTTGGGCTGTGTAGCTTTTATTTTCCAGCTTTCTGTGTTTTGGTTATGCCTGTCCGAGCTGGGGAATGTGCTGCAGTTGATCCTGAATCAAGCCATCTGGAAACTGTTAAAAAAAGCAAACAAGACTTATTCAGATATCCAGATACTGTAAACATAGATAACACTTGTGGCACACAAAAAAATTTCCAGATCGTTGCAGCAACGGACAGCATGAACTTGCTTTTCTGTGGTGCAGCTCGTTTGGAAATTGGTGGTTAAGTGGTCTGGAAATTGCTGTACACAGATATGCTCTTTTCAAAGATTTACATGAAATCTGTTCAGTCAGTCCTGTCTGTTTCATGAGCAACTATTTATTGACTTGCATTATAAGCTGTGCCTTCAGTTCAGCCTTAGGATTTGTATGACGTTTCAGCAGTCAGCCCCTATTCCAGTTGTCACCTGGGGAACTGAGGCTCTGTTTTTCAGTAAATTTACATCGATAGCTGCTGATCTGAGCTGTGTGCATTACGAATAACATACCTTATGCAAACTTTAAAGGCACTTGCAACTAAGCGTACTTTGGGGAGTTCTGATACCAGCTTTATCTCCTGTTTGAGGTTGTGCTTGTGTGATGGGAGAAGTAAACTCTGGACTTTCCTTGTTTTCCAGTGGGTGAGTTTGTAAGTGATGTCCTGCTGGTTCCAGAAAAGTGCCGATTCTTCCACAAGGAACGGATGGATGTGTGTGAAAGTCATCAGCACTGGCGCACTGTAGCAAAAGAGGTAACTGAGCTGTTGTGGCAAGACAGTTTATTCTGGACCTGTCTGCATGGGTGTCTGCATGTAGTCTCAGTTATTACAGTATTGGAGCATCCCAGTGTTTATCTCTGGAGTCTGTTATTCCCATGTTAAGTCTATGAACCATGGCCAAAAGCAACATAAAACTTTTCAGAAGTACTCAAGTGACTTAAAAACACTGTGGAGGTGAGTTATTCTTCACTCTGGAAGAGCTGTCCTAAAGTAACTTGCCCAAGATCATACTGTAGGATGGAGCTAGGGAGTGAAATCAGGTCTCTGGGATGCTACTCTAACCCATGACCATCCTTCCCAGGGTAGTGGACCAGAGCGGTCATAGGCTGTTTCATGTTTGTCTTGCATGTTTTGCAGTAATGTAGCTGCTGCTGGGGATTTGATTTTGAGCGCTTGCTTGGGGACAACGTGAGTTACATTGTGACTGTTTAGTGGAGGTTTTACATAAGAGGTAGATTATCTTCTCAGAATAAATCTAGCCCACGGGTTGTGTGTGTGGTGGTGGTGTTGTTTTTTCCCTTAATCTGACTGGCAAAAATGTCACAAATTCTCTGTACGCTCATTTCTGCTGAGGTTAATACAGACTAAATGACTAAACGTATATGTTTTCTATTCTGTAGAAACAGCAACATAATGCTTAAATTTCACTGACAGTGTTAGGAAAGATGAGATTAAGGAAGTGCCTATTAGAACTTTCTATTTTTTAAATTTCCAGGGAGCAAAATGCTGTTTCCATAAACCTGTGCTAGAGGAATCACCTTTTAATTGGGGACAAACTTGCTAATGTCTCTAAACAACAAAGTTGAAAACCACTTTCCTTCAACATCGTTTGAGAACTTTTCTGGAAATATTTGAATCATTTGCACATCAATGCTGTAACTGAGCAAAACGCTAAGGAGAGCTGATGCATATGAGAAAGCCTTTTTACTGCATTCTTTTCTGTAACCCCGTAAAACCATATATTTCCTTAGTTAAGAGAAATGTATAGATGTGCTGTCTACTCACAAGTCACCTTGGGCTTTTTCTTGAAGTATCCAACTGATTTTCATCTGCAGCTGTTAAAATAATCTTGACACAAAGTCCATTTCAATGATTTTTCGCTTACCCTGATAGAGAGGGATAAAGTTTAATGAAATGACCAGCCTAAAAAGCAAACAACAGTGTGTTACTTCGAAATGCTCCCCTTCTTGTGTTGGTACAAAATATCTGGTTATTTTTCCAGAGCTTAACCAGGCTGAAAGTTTAGCAGCTGTTGTTGGGAAGGGGCGGTTAAATTAACAGCAGGAACCGCTGCGTGTCTCTGATTCAAGACCTTTCTAGGGTTCGGTTTATGGTAAACAAATTTCAAATCCATTTTTCTTTAATGTTTAGACTTAGGTCCCTAGGTTGCGGTTGTCCTTCTGCTGTAAAACTTAGACTATTGGTTGCATGCTTGGGACCTGCGATAGGCAAATGCTAGCGTTTTTGCTAAGCAAGAGCATAATGCTATACTGACGTAAATGGGCTCCTCTTTCAGGCCTGTCTGACGGAAGGGATGATCCTGCACAATTATGGCATGCTGCTGCCCTGCGGAGTAGACCAGTTCCACGGCACTGAATACGTATGTTGCCCTCAGACAAAAGTTGTGGATGAAGCACTTTCCAAAGAGGAAGAAGATGAAGATGAGGATGAAGACTATGACCTTTATAAAAGGTACGGTTCTTCCTGACGTGTGTGTTAACAGCTCTGTATGTGAAGCTGCTGTTACCTGTTTCAAGTAGTGACTGCCTTGCGGTGAGGTCCGAGGAGAATGTCTGTGCTTTTGAATCCCCCAAAGGAGTGTCCTGAACATGAAAAAGCCTTTCAGAAGGACAAGTGACTTTGCAGCGCTGCTGTTACTGGAGGAGTCAAACAGCCCCTCCTTTCATTCCTAGCCAGTCAGAATGACTGTTTGGTTGCTACAGTAGGTGCGTCCTCTAAATATTGTAGACTCTCACTTCCTGAAAAGAAACCGATGAGCAAAATGTAAGGAACCCCCACTGAGCCGGAGGCACAAAGAAGCTCTGCCCGTAGCGACAGGTGTATCTGTAGTGAGAGAAGTCTTGCTGCTGCAGTTGATTCCCTGATCAACGGTTGGTGGATTTATTTTCGCATCTCTCTTATGTTTCTAAAACAGATGAAGGGAGAATCGTTATTCTAGTACATGGAAGGTTGGCTGCAAACTGATTGGCATTAACTTTACCCCCCCTAATTTAACTGTATCCCTTCAGTGAGTTCCCTACAGAGGCAGGTGTAGAAGACTTCACAGGGACAGCTGTGGAGGAAGATGAGGATGAAGAGGATGAAGGGGAAGAGGAGGAGGAGGACGTGGTAGAAGATCGTGATTACTATTATGATAGCTATAAAGTAGACGATTACAATGAAGAGACCCCCACAGAGCCCAGCAATGACAAGACTCCTTCCGAAAAAGAAGTCAGCAGCGATATGAAATGTAAGTCATGTTCTAGCCTATGAGACTCTTGCTTCCTTGAGAGTATTCTTGTTGGTTGTCAGTTGGTTGATAGGTTTTTGATCAAGTCAATAAATGCCACTTTGGAAGTTTTTATTTGCCAGATAAGTTAGCAAACAGAGGGAAGCTGATGATGCTTATATTTGAAGTGTTGAAATTAACTCTCTAGAGCAAGCGCCATATGTTTCCAGTTAAACAGCAGTTTTGCTGGCAGAAAGCCCAGTGGTTGGTACATTGAACGAGCACCTCCATGAAGGTGCCGTGCAGAGTCAGAAAACAGTGTCTGCATAGATTAATTCTGGAAGATTTAAGGAGACGTTTGGGGTACGCCATGAATTTAAAATTGTGGTTTTGAGTGATTACCTTGGATTTGGTGTTTTATACCCAGATTACAAAAAGGAAGCTAAAGTTGGTGGGTCGAATTCTGCAGAGGTGACGTAAAGGTGGCTGCTGGCCGTTTGATGGTAAGGAAGGTATGCAGTGCCCCCTTTCCAGTCTCCGTGTTAAGCAGCCACAGCCTTTGCGTAGACCTTTCTCTTTCACCCAAGAAAGCATATCAGCACTATTGGTGCACTTTTATTATCTAAGTATTTGCTGTAGCTTTTGTCTAGTGGCGAGTACCATTGCTGAGAACATCTACTGATTGTGTGGTGCCACCACGGTATAGAGCGTCCTATACTTTGTGTGTGGAAGTGTCTGCAGAGGAAGGAGGAGGGGAGAGGGAATGAAATTCAATTAGCTTCAGATCCCTGAATCGTTGCCAGCAGTTCTTGCATCTTGTTGGTAAAATGCCAGCATGCTGCAGATAATTTTACTTGCCGAAACAAGGCTTAGATCATGTATGTACAGGGCTGTTAGAGGTTTGCAGGTATTGAAATATACTTGGAACAGTGTGATTGGGGTGTCTGTTTTGGGGGTGCACAGTCTGCTTTCCTTAAAGTGCTGTGAACAGTTGCTAACATACACAATGTATCTGTACCCTTGCCTCAGAATAACTCAGCTGCTTATCCTGACTGCTTATTGTGAAGGAGTCCCGTGCTATGTGATGTGGCCGTGTTGTGCCGTGGCTACATCAATAACTTTGGGCTTCAATATTTAGCTTCTAGGTGTTTCAAAACTTTAAAACCCAACAGCTAAGACTGCCACTGCGATCATGTTCCGTGTGCTTAGTCTGCCTTTTCACTTGCTGTTATACCTGCTTGCCTCTAAGATGTCAAGTTCCTATCCAGGCAGAGTGCAGCGGTGCAGGACCTCTTAGAAGGCTTTAAGCAGCCCTAATGGGCTTTCTTTCCTGCATGTTGGTTTGAGATAGCGGAGGCTCTGCTACTCTTGGGAAACCTGAGGCATAACGTGTGATATCAGCAAAGCAGATCCTTGCTGTTTCAGCCTCTAGCTGAGGACAATCTTGCAGATGAGAGCTCCAGGCTGAGAAAACTGCTTGTGTAGCTGGCTGCTGAGATCTTGCTCTGAAACAGCAAGAGCAGCGCTGCACTGAATTGCACTGGCAAGCCTTGTGATAGACATATTTGAAAGTGCCCTAAAAAAGATCAAAAAAACAACAAAAGCCCTTTGATTGGTGGAGTGGTGGTGCTGAGGCCAACAGCAGAAGAAGTACCCCAGAAGAAGGTGTGGGCTAGAGCCACCGCTGAATCGTAAGTCGCTTGGCAAGGCCTTGTGCTCCTCACTAGCTCATGTTCTAACCCGTCTCCACACAGCTGTCTGCTCCCAGGAGGCGATGACAGGGCCCTGCCGGGCTGTGATGCCTCGTTGGTACTTCGACCCTAACAAGAGAAAGTGCATTCGCTTTATATATGGAGGCTGCGGAGGCAACAGGAACAATTTTGAGTCAGAGGAGTATTGTATGGCTGTGTGTAAAAAGATGAGTAAGTCCTGCCTCCCACTGGCCCTTTTGCAGCTAGCCACTGTCTGTCTGGTGTTTGGTGTCTCCTCCTCCTTGCCTAGGTCAAGAGAGGATACGTGTGTAGCCCATCCTTTTGGTTCTGGTGTCTGCAGCAGTTCTGTCTGTCCTTTTGCGGTAGTCTCCCCTTGTCTCTGCTTCTCTAGGTCTTTAGATTTAACTTCCCGGGGGAAAGCGGCTTCTCGAGGTACGCTGTCTGTGCTGACCTGGGTTGGCCTGCAACCCTTAACAAGGGCTTAGTTATCGTCTTTCGGATTTATAGCAAGGACCGGAGGCTGTCTCTAAGCTCTTGTTATGAAAACACATAGCTTGTTTGTTTGCCTAACTGGCTTTTTTGCCAAATGTATGGGAAGGGACCACTTCCTTTCCCCAGTCACATTATCTTGCATATGTTTGACCAATCAGTCCTGAAAAGCGGGCTGCTAATCGTCATTCTCCTGGTAGTAGGTGTTTTCTTGCTATTGTATTTTGAGAAAACAGCAGTAAAATAATACAGAATTCAGGTTCCCACTTTCAGCTCAGTTTGAAATATGAATCGTGACTCAATCCCTGCATTTTTGAGAGCTTGAGGTTTTTGGCACCAATTTCTACTGGCTTTTATGTCAGATGATAAAACTACCACAAACATTTTAACCTCCTTATTAATCTTATTGTTGAACTCCAGCACTTCCACTTCAGCTACCATTAAAGCCTTTTGAAAGGCTTTTTGTGTTATCTGGGGCTTGGCAGTCTGACTATGCAGCCATAATCCTGTTTACAAAATGGGCTTCATGCAAGTGCTTTAGATTGGGCTGATCTAACTGAAGTGTTGAAATAAAAGATGCGGATGTCAGGAGCTTTTTGTACAGAAGTTTGTCCTGTTTCAGAGGGATTTCAGGCTGGAAAGAGACTTCTCTGTGTCAAAGCCAGGTTCAGAAATGCCGTGAGCAGGCCTAGAACACAGTACTGATCTGGCCTTGTCCCTTGCACACCAAAATAGTGCCTATTTTGTGTGTTGCCATTAGCTCACGTAGTAATTCTTTCCCCTTCTTCACTCCTCCTTCCCCAGTTAGCATAAAGGTTTGTGGATTAAGGTGCATGTTGGAACTCAACTCTTACCCTGTATTCATGTTGAAGTGCAGGGTAATTTCTTGTTTGAAGCGTGCTGTCTTCTGGTGAGGTGTTGGAGGTTTCTTCTGCCCAAATTGTTCAAATGGTTGGAGAGTTCCCATAAGTTTCACCTTCTGCCCCCCGCCCTGCATTAAAGTGCACTGGTGGAGCGCATCGTATTTGCCACGGGTATTTTCGGAAAGGGCTTTGGGATGTGTAACTCCTAAAATTGTAGCGCAGAAACTTGGTTCACTGTTTTCGGAACTGCTGTGTATGGAGTTGGAGCTCCTGTTACGGATTTTGCAGGCGCTTGAAACTGTCAGTTCTGAAATTTTATTTCTCCTCTTGTTGGATTTGAATATCTTAAAGATATAAATCTTCCAGTTTATTGGACAAGTGAATTTGTCTCACTGAACCTCCTTCTGTTGCTGTCTTGTCTAATATCGTTGCCTGTTACTCCTGTGTGGTGCATCTGGTAGGGATGGTAGGTTTGAAGTGTAAGATATTGGGTAGTGTTTTGTGCAGATTTACTGTCAAGCTCCCTAATCATATTAATGATGTCTGGAGCCAGCTTGTCAGTGAGCAGCTAATGCACAAAATGTCATTTAAGCTATCCGAAGCCAATGTGAAAGGGAAGAGGAAACAAGTTCTTTATTCTGCAGTCCAAGTCATTCTGTTGCTGGAGCTGAATAGTGCTTCTCTCAGAACTAATGGGAAGACTGAACAGGTGCTGGGTGCCGCAGTGCATTACTGTGTATTTGGGATGATGTGACTAACTGACGTTGTGCAGTAAATTGGCAGCTTAAAGATACCAAAATGGACTCTTGGTAGGTGGCGATTCAGTAAATTCAGCCTGCCAGCTTGTTAATTCTGCAGGCATGAGGATTCCTCTCCCTGCTTGTCCTTTGCAATCCAGGATCAGAGCTTTCTGAGTCTCTTTTTATCCTTACCTTCTCTTTGCAGTGCCTACTGATGATGTAGATGTCTACTTTGAGACCCCAGCTGATGACAACGAGCATGCCCGCTTCCAGAAGGCGAAGGAGCAGCTGGAGGTCAGACACCACAACCGCATGGACCGGGTGAGCTTCTAGCTGTATTCCTTTGTGCTGCGTTGCATCGTTGCTGCCCATGTTCTCCTGGAGAAAGCAACAGAGCGCTGACTTCAGTCACCAGCCTTCTGTGTGTTTCTTGCAACGTGACCGTGGAGTGGCAATTAGATTGTCATTTCTTCCAAGTGTTGGAAGAGAAATAACTGGGGACGCTCAGCTCGCTGCTCAGAAGGGTTAAGTGCTAAGTTCAAACCCTACAGCAGCTCTTTTGTGCCTCCAACACCTAGCTGTGCTGTGCAAGGATCTGCCTGTGAAGGCAAGTTAGCCCAAAAGATCAGACATAACTTTGTCGTGTTGCTGTGCGCTCCCTTTTTCTTCTTCAGGTGAAGAAGGAATGGGAGGAAGCAGAACACCAAGCCAAGAATCTCCCCAAGGCAGAAAGACAGACTCTCATTCAGGTAAGAGTTGAAGGACCTAAAGAGGAAAGTTGTTGGTGTTTGTCCTCATCATCTCAGTCAGCTAGATGAGAGATGCTAATATTCAAAGCCAAAAGCAGACTGAGGTGGAAAAATAGCTTTCCTGTTCTGTCAGCAGTTACCTCTTAGAGGAAACTTGACTCAATTGCGTGTTTTGTTCTTGAAGCTGGAGATGATCTGATATTGTGCCAGGACCTTTTCCAAGCCCAGCAGTAGGAACCTAACTCGCCCTCCAAGCGTAGTGGTAAGAGAGCCAAATTGTAACCTTAGACCTTTGGCCTATTTTGCACGGCCTCGCAGCCCTGTTCAGTTTGGCCGTGACTCTCTGGACACGTGCTTCCTGTTTGGGCAGTTAGTGAAAACCATTTAGACAGCAGATAAAGCTGGTTTGCTGCCAAAATGCCAATCATCATCTGCCTTATGAGGAGAATTTGGATAGCCTATGGAGTTAATTGGGGTATTCTGGGTATAGGATTGTAAGGGGCGGGCTCTTCCAGCAGTCACAACTGTCTGAAGTTCCCTCAAACCAATATACGTGTAAGGGACCAGCTCCAACTTTCAAGCCTGCTTTGCTTTTTACTTCCTGGAACACGATTTTCTCTGCGTTTTTTTAACGTAAACCGCTGTTTGAAATCTATCTAAGTCCAAAAGAGTTTTCCCTCTGTGATGCAATATAACTACATGTAATGGACTATTCTGGTCCATTTAGAGATGCTGGTCATGACCGTTCTAATAGTATATATGGAGATTTGAGCTGAACATACTCTGATGAAAAGCCCCCTCTGCAGTATCTTTGTAGACTTTTGCATATTCAGATGAATTGAACAGGGTTGGGGGAAAGATTTAATGTTGTGTCACTTGTTCAGCTGAAAGCACAATCTGGATTTCCTGACTCCAGAACTGGAGCTTTTATCTGCAAGGCTGTGTGGCCTCTTCGCAGACCTTTGAAATTAGTTATGAAGGCAAATTGTCACTATTTAAATTGCAGATAGGAAATCTGCTTCAGCATCTGTTAATGCCCTTCTCTCGTTCCATAAACGCCTAGGGCATGCAGTGTGGGACAGGCTCCGCTTATTCTAAGGAATTCTATGAGTGAGAGTAGGTGCCCCTGAAGAACGCAGCATTTCATACAGGCCCTTCCCTTCCCTGCAGCACTTCCAGGCAATGGTTAAATCTCTGGAGAAAGAGGCAGCAAGTGAGAAGCAGCAGCTTGTGGAAACTCACCTGGCGCGTGTGGAAGCCATGCTGAATGATCGCCGTCGGATTGCCCTGGAGAACTACCTGGCTGCCCTGCAAGCTGACCCGCCCCGGGTGAGTTCCTTCAACATGACCTTTTACAGTAGGTAGCCCTGGGCAGACTGAAAGGTGGGAGTAGCTTGATGAAAAGACTGCCTGTGACCTGCTGGGGCAGAAGCTGGGAACAGGTCCTTGATATTGCTTTCTCTGTTGTGTCTGTGCTGAAGACCTAGCAGTGGGTCTTCTAATTGTGTCACTCTCTGCTTGCTGTCCATTTAAAAAACCCTCCGCGTTGTTCAGTGTTTGTGATGCATATAGTGTTCTGAGTCAAACAGACTTGGGTAAAAATTATCCAAAGAGGTTAGCACAGGTGATTGATCTGCCTGGTAGCAAAGCAGAATCACATTTTAAGGGCTGTATTTCATCTGTAATTTTTATTTGACTCAACTGGATTTGAACTCTTCCCTCTCGCCCAAAATCCTGCAGCCCTACCGCATCCTGCAAGCTCTGAAGCGCTATGTTCGTGCTGAGAACAAGGACCGACTGCACACCATCCGCCATTACCAGCATGTCCTGGCAGTTGACCCAGAAAAGGCTGCGCAGATGAAATCTCAGGTAGAAGAATGTTTCTATCAAGGGAGGCTTTGTTATCCAGCGGTGGCTGTCAAAGACTCTAGAAGCCATGCGTCAAGTCCTCATGCTAATTTGCTGGGTACTATAGCAACTTGACATACTTGTGCACTGATCTCCCCTTCTGTATGCGTATCGCCTGTCACCAAATATACTATCTACCCAATTTTGCTTGGTACGTAACTCGGTGTTAAGAATTTAGTATTGAGAATATTACCTTGGAACATCTGCTTTTAACCACAAATTATTATTGGTCACAATAACGAGTCTAAGGCTTAGAACTAGTTCAGTCTCCTTTTTGCCTCTCCTTTTTCAAGCACTTGTGAAATTGTTTGCCGGGGATTTGGTCATCTTTGAACAGATTTTAATTTCTTTCAAGACCTCATGTCTAAATGTTCCTTTCGTTGGTCTTGTTCTTCATGATACCTGTGTTTTGGGCGTGTGGAGCCATTTTTGTGAACTCGCTCCTAAGCAGAGTTTTGTGCCTTTGGCCAGTTTCTTTGTTTCCAAAGTGTAATCTCATGACCTTGCCAAGCAGTTGACTATAATTGTTAGGTTTATTGGAAAATCTGTTTTGATGAGTTTATTTTGCGTTGCTGCAACGTGTTTCACTCCTGAATACCCAGAAAGCCATTTTCCTTCTGCTGGGTGGTATATGTGAATATGCCGCTTCAAATGAGTGTCAGATCTGGCCAGTGTAATTGTAAGAGTAGTTGCAGATAATTCACAAAGGTTTATGAAATATCTCCTGATTATTATTACTATTTTTTTAACATCCCACTCTTAAAACGGTGAAAGATGTATTGAAGGGCCCAGAGTAAGAATGGCCTGTTAACTTTGAAAGATCTTTCCAGAAGGATGTCTTTTCACAAGTTTAGAGAAAAGCAGAAAGAGAGAGAAGCAGAGAGAACTGACTGCCCAGGGGTAGATCTAGGAACCTAATCTTTGTTTTATCAGACTGGAGTCTGTTACTGTCGTCTCTGGTGAGGTGTAGGCTAGTGTTGAGGTTATTTTCCAGGAGTGAACCTCACGCTCGGAGGTGCCTGGTTCCATGAATGTAATGTTTTACTCCAGCTCTTGTCTCTCTGGTTTTCTTACTGCTGACTTTTACCTTCTCATTGAGCTGCGCGTCCTCGGAGAGATTGCTAGTAGCTGTGATATTTACAAACTGATGTTTGCCTTGTGATGCAGAATAGGTGGCAGTGTTTTTGGAGATGGCTTAGCGTATCAAACACAGTCCACCCTAACCCGGTGTTCTGATGCTGCCAAGAGCCCGAGAGAGAGTGTGTGAAGTGTATGCTTCAGCTAAAACCTAAACAGTCCTTAATTCATTCTGAAGGCTGCAGTGTCAACAAATTGACATGCAAGGGATGTGGGTGGTACAGTTCAATTTCCATTCGCTTTACTTTTCAGATGCACTTTAAGCTCCTCAATCGATTCACTTGATTGACAAGCTGCCACACGTAAAATTAAATTGCTTTCATTCTTGCTCTTAAAGGTCAGGTGCACGTCAGACTGTAAAACAGGTCCGTTCAACTCCTTAGCTTTCTCCAACATTTGGCCGTCCACGTTAATGTTTCTTGGTCTGCGCGATCCCTGATTATGCAGCACCCTCTGCAGGTTAGGCGTGACTTCACCAGTGAACTTAAGGCAGGGAAGAGTGATTTGAGGTTGCATGGAATTTGAATTTATTTCTCATATGAGAGGAGAAGGCAGTTGCCAGTATAGGATGTAGGGGGTATAAGCCAAATGTAGTGCCACCGTTGTTCTGAAAGGCACCTTTGTTCTGAAACCAGACTTGATAAATAATATGGTTCGCTCCCTTTGTGCGTATGCTTTCTAGTAGTCAAGAATGAGAATTCATTTGATAGAGCACTTAATTTTGTGCAACTGCAAATTGTGACAGTAGCCGGGGTATGGGAAATAGTTTCAGTGCTTTCAATACAGAGCTGGTTACACGAGAGTCGGCTGAATCTTTTCCCTCCCTGCCAACTCTCGTGCAAATACTGAAAGATCCATGTACAAATGGCCGCTTCCAGTGAAGCATGAAGTATTAGAAAGTATCGGATTATTGGACTAGATGAATCTGTAGTCCCATAATATCGTCTGTCACGGCAAATCCAGCAGTAGGTATTTTATTTAATAACCGAAGTACCAGTACTGATCAAGTAACTGACAGCCTTTGCCTACTCCAACACATCTTGCGTGTTTACAGGTGATGACACATCTCCATGTGATTGAGGAGCGAATGAATCAAAGCTTGTCCCTGCTCTACAAGGTGCCATACGTGGCTGAAGAAATCCAGGATGAAATTGGTGAGTGGCTTTCTGTGCCAGCTCCCCTGCCACCGTGTTAAACTAGGATATTGCATCAAGTGAAGTAAAGTCCAAAAAGATTGTCGACTCCCTTGAGGATGCCCTCAATGACAAGCACTTGGGCTTAGGTGTAGGCACCACAGCGTAGATACTCTCTGGGGTTTGCTCTACAGCAAGTCAGAGTAGCTTGCCCTAAGAACTGTCAGTGTCTGTTTAATTAAAAAAAAGGGGAGAAAAAAAAAAAAAAAGTCAGCGACATTCAGGCAAGCAAAGCTCTCTTTCAAACTGAGATAAAGAATATCCATGAACATAATGCAGGAATTTAACCCCATCTTGCCACAACCTCTGGCCACATCATACATCTTGGCCTGTTTTTCTAGCCTTGGGTCTTCAGCATACCAGATAGGATAACCTGGCAGCCCTGAGCAGTGTTCCCCTGCGGCCCTGCATCGGCTGCGTTCAAACTATCTGCCCCTTTCCGTCTCTGCCAGGCTTCGTGCAGTCTGTGTGAGTTTTTCTCCTATTCCTTTTAGATGAGCTGCTTCAGGAGCAACGAGCAGACATGGATCAGTTCACATCCTCCATTTCTGAATCCCAGGTGGATGTCAGAGTGAGCTCTGAGGAAAGTGAAGAAATTCCCCTAGAGGGCAAACCCTTCCGTCCGTTCCAGGTGAAAACCTTCCCAGCCTTGCCTGAAAATGAAGGTACGTGGAGCTGAAAACGTGGGTTGATTCACTTGTTTTAAAAACTGTAGTCACTTTTTCTTAGCCAGTAGCCCAGCTCTGTGGCATGGGATGCTCCGTCCCTTTGGGTCGTTTAGGAGCAAAACAGTTGCCTCGGCAGTACCCATCAGACAGACTGCCCGTTTCAAGGAGGTAGCGCTGCTAGTAATTTGGACAGTGCGGCTGTCCTGATTTCCTGATTTGTCTGTTTTCAAAATTCTTTTACCTCTTTCCATTTTGCAGAGAGTGTCTTTTTGTTTTGTTTGTTTGTTTTTTTACTGTGTGCCTTGATTCTGAAGTTCGTTTTCAGTCTTCAGCCAAAATGCTCTCGTGTAATGTTAAGCCTTTTGTGCCGTGACCTGCCGAAGGGCTACAGGAATTCCCTTTTTTTTTTTTCCCCCCTCTCCTCCCTAATATATATCTGTTTTCTGTGTCAACGGATGTTGACAGCTGGCGTGTGCGTGCGTGTCTATTTATATTAAAAATGTTTGAACAGAGTTCTGAGCTTAAAGAAAGCTGTAGAATAAAAGCTTTTCCCAGGGTCTGACTCAGAAATCATGCACAAGCCTTTTTTCCTTTCTCTCTTAATCTCCTTTCTCTGCTATTTTTGTTTTTGTTTTCCCTCCTGCTAGATCCTCAGCCGGATTTGTACCATCCAATGAAAAAAGGTTGGTTCTAAGCTGCTCCCTCACAGTGCTCTCTGTCACTCTCCTACCTTCTCAGTGTGTCTGATAGCTTCATTTTAGTTTCATACTCACCTTTCATTTTCCTTTTCTCATTTAGATCAGCAGCTTCCAGTTTTGCTTGTTTAGGCCTAGTGTTAACAAAATGAGCTAGTCTGAGTATCTGATTCTTTATGTGTCTCTCTGATGGGCTAGCAAGGTGTCTCAGAAGGCATAGGCTAGCTTCTTTGCCCTCCACAAGTAGGGGCTTAGCAGTCTGTCTGAGACCATGCAGGACTCTGTATCTCTTCGTTTGCCCTCACGTTCATCGTTCTCAAAATGAACTTTACAGTGCTGGTGGCAAACAATCTAGGGGCTGTTCTGCGTGCTGGGGAATCTGTGCTTTCCACCCAATGACAGCACGAAACTAGGAATGAGAGTGCCATGACAGGCTCTATTTCCCAATAAGTGCCCTCAAAGATGTCATAGAGTACAGCTGGTCAGGGAGAGGCAAGCTGGGAGATTCCTTCTTTGTGTTTGTAGTCTCCCTGTCATCCCCTTCTCACATGTAGCATTTCTCTGTACTAGCCAAGTCCTGGGTGGTTATCTGGTTCTGCTTTAGCTCTTTATTGATTGGAAACAGAGTGCCTGGCTAAGAGAAGGGCTAAGCAGGTGGTAAGGGCAGCACAGAAGCGCTGGCCTTAAATGAAATCCTTTCTTAACGTACCGTCTCAGGTAAAGATCGGGTCCAGCTGATCTGCTAACCCAGATCTATTTCCCAAGGTAGGAAGGGAGGGCTAATTGTTAGGCTGCTCTTGCAGTGCAGTGGTGCATATACTCTACGTTGGGCATAATCCCCTCATTTTAATCTGCCTTTGTTTCCGAATACGTTTTTTCCACTGCCTTTTCACAGGGTTTCACAAGAGTTGCTGGGGGGGTTTCTCTTTGCGGAGGGAGAAGTGGGAGAGGGCTGTGGGGTTTTTTTTTTTTTTTTTTTCTGGAAAGTGTATAATCTAAACCGTGCCTTTGAGCTGCATGGAACTGGGTCTGTTATTTGGTACAGCTCCCTGTGACAAACAGCAAAGCTCAGTGCAGAAGCTGAACTCCCAGCCCTGGAGACTATGCTACACTGGCTCCTGAGAATTGAATAAAGCAGCCATAGGCCAAAAGCTGACACAGTAGTTCTCTACAAACTGTTTGTGGCTAGTCTCTCCAGAAAATCCAAATCATTAACTTTCACAATAACATGACCTGCTTCAACAGCCGTGGGAAGTCAGACTGGCAGTCTTGGCCGTGCTCGGAATCTGATTACTGTCTGCAAGGAACCTTGCAGGAAAAAGGGATGCACTAAAGCCCTAGACGCTTCTTTGGGGAGGAGTTGGAGTGAAACAAGAGTTTCCTTGGCATTTTCAGGCAGTAAAAGCTTGTCACAGTGAAAACTTGCCTTGGAGCCAACTAGCCTTTCCTCGCATCTCATCGGAGAACATGTGCCAATTTCAGCAGCAGTTGACATAATGCCTTAGCGAACCTGCAAGCTCAGCAGCTTGTGGGGAGGTGTATGCAATCACCTGCAAAGTGTTAAGTGCTGTAGTAATATTTTCCCCACCTCACGCTCCTCTTTGGAGATGCCCTGCTGTAGGGTTCAGGCTTCGTTGTCCTCCTGCTTTTGCTATGGGAAGGCATAGAAGGTATGAAGGACGTTCTTCTGCACGTACTGGTAATGGAAAACTCTGTCTCCTAACTCGTTATGTTGTCTTAGGTCTGAGTATCTTGCATCAGCCTCTTTTATTGATCTCATCTATTTATAAATGCTTCAGATCAAAACAGTTTATGCAGAGCAGCCTTCTGTTAATTGATATTCTTCTCTTCAGTCTATGCTGGTTTCAGCCTAGGAGTGGGTGAGTGATGCTCTGGTACGCAGGCTAGCCTAGCACTGTGCTCCTCCCTTGCCCTGGGATTTATTGTTTTTGGACTTGTGCCAGATATGGGACAGCAGCTCATTACAGAGCCAGCATGGCTGGTGACCTTGAAATTCTTGTTCCTGAGGCACTTGCTGATGCGCTTGATTTCAAAAGAATGGATGATGCTGACTGTGCGGTTGAGACTGTTCCCTGTGCGCTGGCTCTCAGTGGAGAGGATGTGTTCTTCAGTCGCGGGGGTCATGTTGAGGTGGTGGTGACCCTGGGTGACATGTGCAGAAAGGGATTAGGTCCTCACAGTTCAGACTAGATGTTGCCTTGGACCTTCTAACAGCAGCCTTTAACAGTATGGTATTTCTGGATTTACACTTCAGTGTGTTTTGGTGAGTCCTGTCTGCTCCACTCATTGCCGCCTCATTTCCCTCCATTAACAGAAAAACCCCCATATCACTTGTCACTGTAGCATAGCTTATGAGCTCCCCTTCTGACGCAACAGCATGAAGACAGATTAATAATCGGCAGTCCATGCTGATTAAACACACTAGCCGTGGCAGCTCTATAAAGAGTAGATAGTCCTTCCTAAATGTCACTAAGGGCTGACTATTGGTCTTTGCCTTGCTCTTTTGGTGCAGGTTCTGGCATGACTGAGTTGGATGGGCTGATTGGCGCTGAAGAAAAAGTGATTAACAGCAAGAACAAAGTGGATGAAAATGTGGTGAGCCCTCCGCCTTTATTTTGTAAAGCAAAGCCTGTCGTGGACACTAATTAATGGCAGTGGCTTATTTCCACCTCTCCTTCCTGCTTACAGAATGTCAGTGTGTTCACTATCCATATGGTGTGGGGGAGTCAGTTTTCTGTCTGTTGTAGACTCTTAATACTGATTAGCATCAGAGGGTGGGAGGGTGAGGGAAGGGGATCTAGATCTTTGGCAGTCTAAGCTGGTGAAGTGCCTGATTCAGTAATTGCTTTCCTGAGTAAAGACCCTTTTGCTAAACCTTTACTTGAGTTAGGTAGCTTGCTGTCTGAGTACGCTGAATGCTGGTGTGTGTATTCCACCTGTCTCCCCAGATATTTTCAAAGGCAAGATAGGCCTCACCTTCTTCCAAAGGCGAGGGATCCAGTAAGCACGTCAGGAGGTTGGGGTTAGCAGTAGTTCTATCTGTGTTGTAAAGAATTCGCTAGGTCCTAGCGCCAGCCGCCTTGCCTCGGTTACCTGGATTTAAAAAAAAAAAAAAAAAGGAGGGGCTTTGAGAGCTTAATTTCCAAATTGTTTTAAAGCCGCACGTTAGATCTTGCACGACAGAAACGCTCCATCCAAAAGAAGGGCCTGGTTTTAATCTGGGTCTTCATTTTGGCGTAGCCTAGACTTCCCAATGGCTGCAGTACTAACGTAGTTGACTCTCAAAGTTGGCGGCTATCCTGTGCTTCTGAGAGCAGTGGAAGGATAGTGGTGGTTTCTGCGCCCTTCCGAGTATACATTGAAGGTCTCCTCTCTGGCTTCATACTCTACCTCCTGGCTGTTTCTCGTGGCTCCTTTCATAAAATGCCTTTGTGACTATTTTCAGGTAATTGATGAAACCCTTGATGTGAAAGAAATGATTTTCAATGCGGAGCGTGTTGGCGGGCTGGTGGACGAGCCGGTACGTATGTGGGCACTCAGTCTAGTGACTGGCGAATCCCTAAAACTGGATTTCTGTTGCTCTGTATCACTGAATTCCAGGGCTTCGCCGTGTTCACAGTGCTCTGGGGAGTTGTGCAGGGTATTATAGAGCGCTGCGTTTGTGCATGAAGGTTACAGTACCTGGTGAAAACGCGTAGATGATAGCTTGTCTCTTTTGTTGCAAAAGTGTTTTGTGGGATGGGAAAGCAACCTGAGTCCATATCCGTCCAGAGTGTGTAAGTGGGGACACAGTTTTGTGTTTAGTATCCTTTTTCCAGGAAGAGATTAAATATTCACACTGACGAGTATGATCAGTCATGTCTTGATACCACAGATGGTTGAAATGCTTACTGGTGGCCGCCTCTTAGGTTTGCATTTATCAGTGCAACTCCCGCATCGCTCCCCCTCTATGGACCGCTCTGTTTTCTTCCCTCCAGGATAATGACAACGCCCTTCGTGATGACTTCAGTTTCAGCAGCAGTGCCCTTATTGGGCTCTTGGTGATTGCTGTTGCCATAGCTACTGTTATAGTCATCAGCTTGGTGATGCTGAGGAAGCGGCAGTATGGGACCATCAGCCATGGAATTGTGGAGGTGAGAAACGACTCCTGCTCCATAGCTGAGGATGAAAATAGTCAGCATTGACTCACATGTTGTGTGTAGGGGGTGAAGATGGCAGTGTCAGCAGTAGCTGCCAAGCCATCAACTGCTTTGCTCCTAGCTAGATGGGACTTAACTCTATAGATGCTGACATCTTCATCACTTATTTATAAGCATGCACGTATCAGTCATCAGCATGCCATGCTGGGACCTGTCACTTCGCAGTTGTATTCACTTATCACAAGGAATTCAATTAGGCTTCTGGCTCAGGACAGGATTTAGCAGTAAATGAGCTTTTCAGGCAATATCTTTAGTAAGGGAGTAAGTCAGTCAATCTATAGTAATTTGTCCTCCCAACTAACGCAGCAACTATTAAGACATTGTGATCAACTGAACACTGAGAAGCAGGTTCCTTCTTATTCCTTCCACTCCCAACATGCACAATTCTAATGACAGCTTAATGGAGTCTACAGAAAGCTGCGTTTCCCCTTTGGCCAGCTGGTGAGTGAAATAATAATGACCTGTTTCGTGGGAGAAGAGAGTCCCAATTTGTAACGTTAGCTAACTTAGTAGAGGTCTGGGGAGAACGTCCCCAAAGAGGCAAGGACAGGCAGGAGACATTAAGACCTGAACAAGGAACTCTGTTAAGCAAATTATTTGTTATGGTTTGCTTGTTTTTCCATTCACCACTCGCCACCCTGTTCATCCAGAACTTGTCTAATGGCTGTTGTTACTCTCAAATAAGGCCTGCGGATGCATCCCTTGACCTGTAATTGTCTGGCCTTTTTAAAGGTTGACCCAATGCTTACTCCAGAGGAGCGGCATCTGAGCAAGATGCAAAACCATGGCTACGAGAACCCCACTTACAAATACCTGGAGCAGATGCAGATATAAAAGAGATGAAGATGCAGCAGCCCTGATCAGAAAAAGAGCAGGGCGGGAGGGCCAAAGTGGTCCAGCGTTTTGGATCAACTACTGACCAACAGTTGCTTCAAGAGGACTTCATCTTACATTCAGAACTCCTGGATCATTAAGACTATAATTACTACTGTAGAGTTGCAATTTCCATTCTTTTAAATGGGTGAAGAAATGATAATATAACAATATGATATATAAATCTCCTTAAATGGGAAAAATGGATCTATTGCAGATATTTGACTGAGATGTAGTTTTCTTTTTTTTGTTGTTTTTTAAACTGAAAAATACCAGTTCCGTTGTACTGTTGTCTGATACAAGCTCTATATATATAATGGGAAATGTTGATTTTTATTTCCGATAGACCACCTGTATATTGAGGGTTATTTGTACCAGCCCGCCTTGTAAAAAGGAGACAGCTGTGGCTCTTCAGTCATTCTGGCTTTTATATATAAAGCAGTATTTTTTTTTTCTTTCTTTCTTTTTTTAGTGAATTTTGCTGGGAGTTGCAAAGAGATTAATTTAGGGTTAGGAACTCTGAAAGCATAAGCAAGGAGAAATTTGGAATGATAACTAACAAAAATTCTTATAACCCCCCCCCCCCCCCCCCCCCAAAAAAAAGGAGGAAAAAAAAAGAGAGAAAAAAACCATCCGCATATGCCAGTGATGTGCACCCTGCTGCTTAGCAGTCTGGGTTCTTGGAATCAAGACTCCCTGGAGGCAAGGAGTTAAAAGGCTTCTAGCATCTCTGTTTATAGCTATTCTAGTGGAATGTTAGAACATGGTTTGTGCATACTGGGGTCTGCACATTCCCCTTTCCAATTCAGTTCTGCTCTAGAGTTGGAAGTTCCTGGTAATGAATTTAAATCCTCCGATCTGAACCAGTTTCCTTCAGTACTCACCTGGCATTAACAGCCCCCTCTTGCTACTACTTTCTAATTTTCCCCAGCTCTCCTGCCTCACCAACATGGTAAGTAGTTAGAGAGACGCAATTTTTTTGAACCTTTGCGACTCTTCCAGTGATGTTGGGCCATAGGCATGGTTTTGGGTATTTGCCCAGAGATGACAAATCATTGCAATAATCAGTACCTTGGGAGCTGATGAACATGGAGAGAAAAGAGGGCTAAGTTGGGAAAGGGATACTGCCTGCTTTAAGGGAAATTGGAGGCATAGGCCCCGAGAAGAACGAATGGGGCGTTGTTCCACTCACCATCATGTCTTTGTAATGCTTGTATAGTTGGTGTTAATGCTCACGGCTTTTTTAAATCTGGAGGTTCTGGTAACCTGTGGTGTATTTTTTCTATTTTTCCTGTGACTTTACTTTCTTTCCCCTTCCATGTCTCTTCCCACTATGCACAGATTTACCTGCAAACTCCTTAGTGTGGTCTGTGGGGAATGTACAAAGTTGAAACACATCAATAAACACTTTAACTTCCAGATTGTTCCTTCTCTTTATTCACGGGCTCACTTAGTTTCCCCTTTCTCCCACCGTGTCCTTGTCAAACCTCTGGAGACTTTTCCCTGTCTCTTTGTCCACCTCTGCTTCACTTACCACCTTTGAAGGAACAGACCGATATTGAGAAAGTATATTCTGCCCTGCCCAGAGTCTTTTGTGGTACTTCTAGATCCTGCTAACCTTGGCAGAGGGAAGGAAGCAAGATACTAAGCCAGCGCCCGGGACTCCCGAGCAGCGTTGTAACCTCAGACTGCAGCCGTTAGACGCTGGAGATCAGGTCAGTTAGAGCCGTGGCTGCTCTGTGTATCCCGGTTGTTTGTAAAGTGCATTGCGAATGGTTAAGCGGTGGTAAAATGGCCAGAATCGCTGCCTGGGTGGAGGCAGCTGCTGTCACGGCGTCTCAGAAGGCGCAGAGCCAAAGCGCTCTGCAAAAGCAAGCCGTTCTTGCTATTCGGCCATCCACCTGCACTTTCTAGTTGGCTGTGGAAATAGGGCCAAGTTGTGGGGAATAGGTTTGGGCGATAACGGTGGTTGTGCTTTAACTGGACCCGCTCCAGAGAGCTGGCCTCAGGCTAGGAGCCTTTATTACATGCAAGTCTTAAAAATAGGGTTGGACAGAAGTACGGGGGGCTGCAGAAGATCTTCCAGTTCCGACAGGGCATACAGGGAGACGGGTCTCAAATAGTGATGCTCTTCCATTGAGTGCTTCCTGTTGTGGCTGGCCAGATCTTAAATACTCTGAAGGTGTGAGGAGCCCTGGGCAGTGACTCTAGTTAGCATTCAGTATATCTCTTGCAGTGTTTTATGAAGGAAAATCACTTGACTGTTTGGTTTAACTTTCTCTTCCAGAACGTCTAAAACTAGCAGCCTGTAAAGCTCACAGCTGTCCCTGCTTCTGTATGTCATTTCTCTTCTGTTTTCCTCCTTTGAAGTGTGACCTCGAGCACAAATCCCTCCTCTCTTGCATGTCACTGAAATGACTGAAGAGTCATAGCCATGTGAATGCTAGTTTTGGAGGCTGAGACAGAATTAACCTTTCTTTGCGTTGATCTGAGCCATTTCCAATAGGTCTTAACGAAGCGGGGGAGAAGAGGTGGTAAGAAACATGAAGCGGAGGCCAAACAATTTTGTGTAACAAAGAATTTTACGTCCTGTTTCTCCGTAAATGGGTCCTTGGTTCCACTGGAACTTCCATGTTCTGGCTGAATTATTCAGACTCTGCAGGAAAGAACAGATGCTGTCCTAGAAAATGCCGTCTGTTGGCTTGTCACAACTACTTGGGAAGGAGTTTTGATTTTTAACTGTAAATTTCATTTAAGTGATGCCGGAGCAGATCTCAAATCCAAAGCTGTTTCTTGGATTGCGTCCTCCGTTAGGATAACCTGAAACAGAAACAAATTATAGGGGCTCTGGACTGAATTCCAGAATTGAATTTGGGCATTAGATTTTTTCCTTCAATAAATTCTATTAGTCCTACGAAATAAATACATTAGACTCAAATCAAAGTCTGTTAGTTACATGCTTGATATACGCTGCCAAGTGCTCAAAATCGATTCTTTATGATGGATTTTGCCTGCAGCTTCTGAAAACTAGTGTTCACAAATATCTCTTTGAAGATCAGTGCTAAAACATCTCCCAGTTGATATTGGTATCAGTCATCCAGGAGGCCACAGAATGCTTTCCTGAGGGAAGCGTCAAAAGTTTCATCACGGTAAGACTCTCGCAATCAGATGGCTCAAAGCACAGTGGAGCTGTTGGCTGATTTAAAAAAAAAAAAAAAAAAACAGCCTTGCAAAGGGTGTTAGGAGTTGCATTTCAGAGGAAAACTCTGTTTAAAAGCATAAATCCTCTCTTTACCTTTAAAGCGGCGTAGTTCTCCCTTTCCCAGTGCATTGGAAGAATGACAGATTATCGTGTGTCATCTTCAGAATTTGTTCTGCCTTTTTCCTAATTGCAAATGCTAGAGCTGGATACACAGATTGTGGGTGACTAGAATGAACATTTGTAGTTAGCTGTGTGAAGAGGGTAGTAGGTTCCCTCGAGTGCCCACAGCCTTTCAAATCCCAGACCTTTATGGATCGGTGTGGCGTACTGAGGTGATTCCTGACATGGAAGCTCATTTGCTGCTCTCCAGACAGAGTGTGCTTTTGGGAAAGTCAGGCAGATGCAGTATGCCTTTGCCATCTCGCTTGGAGCACCTTGCGGACTGAGATGCCTTTGTGCTTTGCTGGTGATGACGTGGTTAAGCCAAAAGAGCGTTGGCCGTGCTCGATTGTGAGAGAAGCCTTTGATAACTGGCAGCACTGAGCAGGAGGAAATGCTGGATCAGTCTGTCTCCTTTCTTGTTGTAAATCTGTTCACTATTACTGCTTCTCTGAGGATGCAGTGGAATAACGCGCTCTGAAACTAGGCTGCGTTCAGTGCTAGATGGCTATAAGGTGGATAGGTTTATTTTAGCAGCCTCGCCTCTCTTTACTGTGAAAAGCGGTACTTACTGAGATGCCCATGGAGCATGTCTTCCATCGTTCAGCCCTGGTCAATGAAGGAGGTGGAAGGCGCTTTTGAGGAGAGCGGCCCAAGAACACAGCGACGTGGTGCCTTTCCCCGTGCTGCGCCATCAGAGGGAAACGTTAACCTGAAGGAGCGCGGAGACCCAGAACTGGGTGTCTCAGTGCTGAGCGTAGACGATTCTGGGACCAGGCTGCAGATCTCGAGGTTAGGTGTCCCATGCCCTTTTTTGGCTGCCAGCTGTCCAGCTGTAGCGCAGCGGTTAAAGTAGATGTCAGCACGCAGGAAGGTCCTTGTGTGTGTCTCTCTCTCTCCAGAGCAGTCGCACTCAGCGTTCGGCATCGATACTTTGCTCGTGGCTGCTATTGCAATGGCAGAGGATTTTGGAAAAGCACAGCAGGGGTCAAGTAGTAAAAGCAGAGGAGCTGGGAGAAAGCCCGTTTTATAGGACATAGTAACAGGTAACTGGCCAGCGGAGTAATACATAATCATGTAAGGAAAGTGAGGGCAAGTGGAGTTAAATGCTCAAGTTTGGTGTTTTGGGAAGGGTGAAAATATCTCAGTCAAGCTCTTGAAAAAGCGGCAAGCTGCTGGAAATGAACGTTAATCAGTGCTGTACACAGGCCTGCAAGCAGACTCAATATAATAATCTTGTCGGTGCTGACCTGACAGCCCGCCTGCCAGGCGGCATCGCTGCCAGCGAGAGCGTGCTGCGTGCAGGCTCCGTGTCGCACCGGCTCTGCAGCAATTTCTCAGCCGCTGTAAAAAGCTGTTGGTGCTTTCGGGTCTCGAGTCTCAGTGGGACCACGTGCAAACCACCTGGCCACGATCCCTAGCAACGGCACAGAACGAAAGCACTGGGGAGCTGTAAGGCAGCAGTCTGAGAAGCTGTTTCTCTAGTGCAGAAAATTAGCTGGCCCTTAACTCGTGCCGTTCCTCACCAGGCAGTGCCATTAGACCCCTCTTTGATCGCAGCCGTGCTGGTGCTGGTAACTTTGCCGCCGGTGAGAAGGCTCTGCTGAGCGCAGTAGACAACACAGATGAGGAGTCTCAGTGAAGGCATTAATGTGTGTGTGTGTGTGTGTGATTCAGGTCCTGCAGCAACGAGCCTGTTAAAAATGCAAGAGTTTTGCTGTATTTACCAGTGACCCAGGGGGAGTGCGTGCTTTGCTGCAGGAATACTTAACCTCTGGCCTGTAGGCTGTGTGGTCTACCAGGACAATTTAATTTCGATTGCGTTTTGCTCCAAGCAGCTCTCCTTTCCTGAGAGCAGTTTGAGAACAGGCTGGATGCGTTGTTCATGAACCAGCGTCAGCCGGCCTCCGGATGGCACCTGGGAGCTTCTCGGGGAGCCGGCCCTCCCCATCGCTGCAGCGCCCAGGGGGAGCTTTGGACTAAAGGTGACGAGAAGGGCCGGGACCTAAGGTAAGCGGCCCAACCTCCCCCAAAAGTGGCTGTGACGTATGTCGCGTATATCAGGGTAAAGACCCTTCGGTAGCAGAGTTCAGACGTGAAGCTTAATATCCTCTTCGGAAGTTGTTAGCTATTAATGAAACAACTTGAGGTTTTTGTGTTCTGCCGTTACTCATGCTTACTACTTGTCCTCCCTCCCTGCAGCTTCACGGGGTAGTGAGTCCTACAGCCCAGTTATGTGCTGTGCGGTGGGGAAGTATGTGACTTAGCCTATTTTTTATTTGTTGTGTCTTGCATTTTCCTGGCTGGCCCCTCTCCTCTAGGTTTGAGAGTAGAAGGGACAGGGAGAATCAGTTTTCCCTGTGGATATTCTTCATAGCATCCTCTAAGTCCCTGTTGCCTCCCTAGCAACCCAAAGCAGACCAAATCTTTCCTTTGAGCCTGGACTTAGGGCCACCCCGGAGGCAGAATTCGCTCGAACGCTGGCTGCCTGGGCCCGGGAGCTTCTCGCGGTACCGTGCTTTGATTTGAGAATAGCGATTCCCCAGGAAGGGCCCTCAGCCCTTTTGCTTCCTCACCTGGCCCCTGTAAATGGTACATGGCTGGGGTTGTCCCTCTAGTTGGAGGCAGCACGGATGTGTAAAAAACCCCATGCAGCAACCTTACAGGCCTCCTCTGAGCCTGCACCCGCACACTCGCGGCTTTTCCCCGCCAGACCGCGTAGCGATAAGTGAAGCCCCTGAGGCTTTGAACGGGTTTGCTCCGTGCATCTTCTTCACTTTGGCACTTGTGTTCACGTCTGCTTTGTGCACTGCTGCTTCTTTCAGGTATCTGCACCGAGGGCGGGGAGAAGGATGTGATTTCCTCCTGCGCCGGGAAGGCTGCGGCTGACATGAAGCCTGGTTACTTCCAAGCCTGCAGCAGGCTGTCGGTTTTACCAGGAGCCACAGGTTTCTTCCGTCTGAGGAAGTGGAGGGTGGACGGCGTGTTTCCTGCGAGAAAGGAAGCTGCTGCTGATGAAGATGAAAGGTATTTTACGTAGCCTATAAGCCATGCTGAC